ATTCGAACTATTCGAACTATTCGAAACTATTCGAACTATTCGAACCCCCCTGGTTCGAATAGTTCGAATAGTTCGAATAGTTTGGGGCACCAGCCCTCGCGCCCAAACTATTCGAACTATTCGAACCCCCCTGGTTCGAATAGTTCGAATAGTTTCGAATAGTTCGAATAGTTTAGGGCACCAGGCCGGGCCCCCAAACTGTTCGAACTATTCGAACCCCTCTGGTTCGAATAGTTCGAATAGTTTCGAATAGTTCGAATAGTTCGAATAGTTTGGGGGCCCCAGGCCGGGCCCCCAAACTATTCGAACCCATCTGGTTCGAATAGTTCGAATAGTTTGGGGCACCAGGCCATGCCCCCAAACTATTCGAACTATTCGAACCCCTCTGGTTCGAATAGTTCGAATAGTTTAGAATAGTTCGAATAGTTCGAATAGTTTGGGGACCCCAGGCCGGGCCCCCAAACCATTCAAACTATTCGAACCCCCGTTTGAAAGTTCAGAAAAGACGCATGGTCACATAATACAGGAAGGTTCCTCGTACATATATGTATATATTCATGCTAACCCCCCCCCCATTGACCTATGCGTTTTTGGTGTTTTCGGAAATGCTGGTGAGCATGAGGCATCTGAGACGCATTTTTTCCGAAGAAGATGAAAAATAGCCACACCCCCCCCCCCCCCCCCAGCGACCTTCCTTTTTTAGGCCTGTTTAACAACAAGAACAACGAAGGTTCAAAATCGCGTAGTCCCCCGATAAGCCAGCATTCTATGCAAATTGTGCGTTTAAAGGGCAAATAATGTTTTGTTGAGCAACTAATGTATTTATACACTTGTGTTTGTACGAGGCAAAGCATTAATCAAATACTATCTGAAAAGTCCACTGAAACACCTTATGTTTACATATTCATGAAACATGTTTATTTTTGAAATCATCATTCTATGCGAATTTAACTACTAGAGTAATGATTAAGCAAGCCGACTCAAGTGAATGCTATGTAAAGGACCAACTCGACCAAAAACACGAAATCAACACCATGCTCAGCTAAAATATGGCAAAGTGTGCGTTTAAAGGGCAAATAATGCTTTGTTGAGCAACTAATGTGTTTATGCAATTGTGTTTGTACTAGCCTAAGTATTAATCAGATACTATCTGAAAAGTCCACTGAAACACCTTATGTTTACATATTCATGAAACTTTTTTCTTTTGATATAATCATTCTATGCGAATTTAACTACTAGCAAATAGCCCAATTTTCTCAAGTGAATACTAGTTAAAGGACCTTTATATGCGATTTGAACTACTAGAGAAATGATAAAGCAAATCGCCCAATTTGACTCAAGTGAATCCTAGTTAAAGGACCGTGCTCAACCAAAATACGAAATAAACACTAACGGACATGGAAGCGGTTTTACTTACATAACAATGAAACAAAGATTTCTGAAGTATTCAATAGAGACCACTTGTATACTATGTCTGAAAAGCACTAGGCGGCACCGGCGCTGGCACCGCTGCCTCCGATCAAGGCCGCGGCCATCTGGACTCTCTTGGTCGTAATGCACAAAGTCCGGCCAGAACACTATCTACTATCTTGTCAAATTTTTGGCACGACGGTGCTGCCGAAGGCCGCAAGAACGCTTGCGTAGGCTTGAGCAGTCTTGATCCTCGGGGTGCATGCCATTGCTTTGCGCACGAATCAGGCCACGCGCGCGCGAGCCACTCCCATGGCACCAAGTGCCAAGTTTGTTTGCGTGTTCAGCAGAAGATCACCTCGTTTCCAGGAGAAGGAGAAGTTCGTTGCGCCTGATGATTTAACAGCCTGAAAGCTCATTGCGGGTTGAGCGACTTGACGCAGATTCTAGTCAGCTTCCAATGTGTGTGGATTGTTTTTGAACAGCTGTTCAAGGAATCCTGCTGCGCCGGACAAGAAGCCCCGCATTGTATGCGGGCTTGTTGGCATAGGGGCGGAGGCATGCAGTGTTCAGGCTCATGATCTCCAGCACTCCTGGCATTCGCAACGTTCCTGGCCATGGGCACCTCTCCCCGCCCTCACACATCTATTTCCCGACGCATGTACTCCCGCAAGGCCATTTTTGCTGATTGAGGCGCAACTTTGTGCAAACCTTCAGGCAATCGGCACCCGGCCTTAGCACTTTCTTGGACGCAGAGTGCGGGCTTTGCTTCGCATTTCTTTGCAAGTTCCAGGCAGGCACAGCGGCCTCAAGCAGCGGAGGCAACGTGCACTCCGCCTTGGAGGCGGCTGCCTGCAGCCAGCTGGGCCGAGAAAACTTTTCTCGGTTCGCGAAAATGCGCCCAATGGATACTGATGCTGCTGATGTGAAGTTGGCCACGTCAGTTTGGCTGTCAGCTGGTTGGTGCAATTGGTGATCCGACCGGATGTCCCAGACACTTTCTTGGGGGTCCTGGGCCCAGTTTCCGCGAGTTCGGGGATGGTTTTTTGTTTGGAAAAGCGTGTGCTTTTTGTGGAGAGGCCGCCTCTTCGTCATTGGGTCCTACTGGCCTGTCAGACAACCGGACAATATGGCCCCTTGTTCCTATCGTGCGCAGTTCCGTTGGGACACAAGGAAAGCAGCCAAATCTCATTGGAGCAAAGCCGGCCAGGCAAATCAGCCAAAACCTAGTTTTTCAGCAACGAGGAGAGCATGAGGATCGAGGGCAAGCTGGCAGCGAAGCAGTCAACATGCGTTTGCACCTCACTGAGCCAGGTGCAACATCCCTTGGGGCGACTTTGCTGCCCCCTGGTGCTGCCCCCTGGTGCTCCTGACATGCCGTTGCTGCGCAATGCTCCGCATGCTGACTAGGCCATGAGGGTCAGCCTGCTGAAGCAGGCCTGCCTTTCCATTCCATGAGCCCCGCGCCTCACAGTGTTCGGAAGCCCTATCAGGCAGTCGCGCTCACGCTTCCCGAACCTATGGAGGCCTGCGAACAGTTGAGTGTTGAGGTTTTGCATCATTCACAAACTCCGGCAATGAGATGTCTAGGCAGGTACGAGACCCTCAATCCCAGAACCCTGTGAGATCCTTGCAACTTGTCGCGGTTGTTCTTGATCTGCCGCTGTCTCCTAAGACAGCAAGCTGGCCTACTTATCTCAGCACGTGTGTGGACTGGCAGCAGATTGAAAGGTTCGATGCTTCGAGGGTCAGAGGATAGACGCCCCGTTGCCACCCCCCGTTGCCACCCTCATGTGTTTGATGTTTGGTTTGTTGACCACTGCCAGCTCCGAGAAAGCCACAGTGCAAAACCCCGAAACTGGCCAAAGCCCCAAAATCCAAACCTTACAACGTAAGCGCTGCAAACCCTTGGGCAAAGAACCCCAAACACTTGAAATCCGGTCAAGGGCGATGATGAGCCCTGGTATGATCCCACGGCGCCCCAGGAGAATCCTTGTTTGGGGGAGTCAGGGAGATTCAGGAACACACCGAGATGCAAGGTTCGGCTCAGATAGTTCTTTGTTGGTAGGATGGAGAGGGTGGAGCTAGAGGAAGGAAAGTGCCGCAAAGTGCGAAGTCATGAAGTTTGTCTGCACGGCTTTCAAGCAGGAAGCGTAAGGCACTCCAGGCAGCTCACACAGATGCAGCTCTGGCATGTTGCGAGCACTTTCATAGTGCAACAGGAGCTGCACCCCTGTGGCAAATCCCGCAAGTCCTGACCCCCGGCTTCCCGGAGATGAGGCTGGAGGCAAAGCTGCAACAAAGAGGCATGCCTTCGTGATTGCACGCAGCATTGCTAGCCTCGACGCAATTTCATGTTTAGCCTGCGCTGCAGGGTAAATGGAGCAACTCTGAGCCCGGCTACTGTGACGATGAGCACTCTGAGCACTGGGAGAAGTACGCCAAAGATGGCAAGCACACGCACCACAATTTGCTGCACAAGCAAATTCACAAATACAAAAAAAGCATCCAAAAGCGCAAGATCTCTGGTGAAGTTTGGATTGTAGGGTTTTGGAGTATCCCTGGACGCGTAGGAGTCACTTTTTAAATGCTTCTTCTAGATAATTATTGCGTTTACTAGGCAAACATTATCTATGCGAATTTAGCCACCAAGTAATGGCTGAATAAGGTCTACTACACTTGAGCACAACCAAAAGATACACCGAACACTAGTTGAAATAGAAGCGAAGCACGAAACAACTAATTCTGAAGCACTAAAAAGACCACTTGTATACCATTTCTGAAAAGCACAATTTGCATAAGCACACTTAAACATGCGTAGCCATTGCATCGTACAGGCGAACCGAAAAACCAAAATACCAAAAACACAAAACCAAGAAACAAAAGATTCAATTTTCCGGAACTCTTGGAGAAGCCTCATAGGGATTACTGAGAGTTCCAGAAAATTGTTTTTTTTGTTTTTTCGGTTTTGGTTTTTTGTTTTGGCTTTTTGGCTTTTTTGGTTTCTGGTTTTGGCCTTTTTGGTTTTTCTACTGTCCCGTGATTCGGATTTTAGTTGTATTTTCGTCTACGCCCTAGGAAATACGCAATATTGCACACTGAGTTTGCTTGCAGTGCAGCTGGGTGACTTGAGACAAGGCGAAAAAGGGTAGGTCACTGGGGGAAGGGGGTGACAGAATAGAAAGAAAAGGCATAGGTCAATGGAGGGGGGTACCATACTGGGGTACCATATAGAATATAGATATATGCAGGTGAGCTTCAGAAAGGGCTAAGGGACCTCTTGGCATCTTTTGTTTGTTGGCTACTGTTGAAATTGCAGAGGTTTCGAACGTTTCAGATGGCAGCGAGTTCCATGGGCCTCCGATATCCGCTAGCTGCTTGCTCAACAACACTGCACCCTTCCGATCTATACATAGAGGCTCGAACCATCTTGAGAGCACACTGGCAAGCATTCCTGCTCATGTAGCAACTAATGTCATGTTTGTCATATTATAGGCGTATAATACATACGTGAGCAGGTGGATGTGGATTCTTGCGACTGTGTGCTGGCATCGCTGGCGCTGCGCTTTGTTCGGCCAAAAGTCATCATCATGGAGAGCCCTGGTTGCTCAGATTCTGCTATTTCTCACATTCAGGTGAAGTGATAAAATTCAGTCAACCAAGGATCAACTGGAGTATGCCTCCCCCTCTGCGGTTCATGAGACAATGCCACGCTGACTGGACCGGCTCAGTCGAACTGTCTGCAACCGCAAAGCCCACGGTGTAAGTCCCGAATGTTTGATAGCTCCTACATACCAAAAGCTATAGCCTTCGCAATCGCTGAGGGTTCTGCGTTAGATTCTTGGGAAAATGAGCAGCATGTGGCGGAGACGTCAAAACGAGCCGGCGAGTCCAGTCAGGCCTCTTAGAGTTCGAAGATGTCATAACGAAGCATTGGTGACCATCTGCGACGTGCCGAGCGCCTTGCATACCCCACTCTCAGCCTACACGTGTATCTACACTCATCTACACACCCTAAACCCTCGACTTTGAACCTCACTCGGGGTTGCAAGAGGCCGCCAGAGGTCGCACGGGGTTGCGGAGGTTCTGGATGTCTATCCTGTCAGGAACCAGAAGAAGCTGTCTTGGAACTCCGTGGGGCTTCTCGGATGGCCCGTCCAGGATGGCTCAGGTTTAATGTCTGGGACGGTGAATTGGTGGCTGCCGTTTTGGAAAAGGTACGTTCCGCATTCAGACCAGGATTTCAGACGGAGCTTCCTTGAATTGGAGCTCGCGCACGGGGTGATGCGGATCGACGTTGCTTCGTAGAACTTCGTAATATGACCCAGGACCCAAACTGTGCAGAACTCCACTTCAAACATAGCCTCCAGGTTCCAATTCACGACCCACGGTTGCTCGCTCTCAGCTGCGCTGGCTGTGCCTCTGCAGCACAAAGCCGGGTCTTTGGAAGGCATTCTTCTTGGACCATTCTTCGAGCCCATAGGGCTCCGAATACTTCCCAAAGCATGTTTCATGAGACAGGACGTGATGCCTTTGAAGATCTGTAAGATGCAACGGAAGCAAGGCAGATCGGCACAGCGGCACAGCACTAGATTTAGATAGACAACTGCTGGATGCCTGGCAGGAGTTCGCACAGTTCGGCTATTCTTTATTCCGCTTGTCCGGTGGTTTCAATGCCCTCTTCGTCCACCGTGACGTTGCACCATTCCTGGGAGGAGCAGAGGCAGCGTGCCCCGTATGTCCAAACTTTCTGTTTGCAAGAGTCGGTTTTCCGGTTTGCTGCTAGTTCTGGTGCCAGCCAGGTTGATGAGATCTTCTGCTTCAACCGCGTCTGGCAGGACGCATAGCTTCACGGCGCATTCCAAGACGTAGGCTCAAGGCTCCTAGGTTTGAGTTCTGGTGTAAAGCTTCGGCTTGAGGATGAGAGGTGAGACATGTGTCGACGTAACACAGAGCTGCCTGAGTCTGCACAAGCCTCTTGGAAGAAAGGGGTTGCTGTAGTGTTAGGCTCTTCCTTTCAAGAGCTGCACGGCAGCAGCGCGCCAGAACTGACTCAGGTCCGAATCCGAACTGCCCCAGATTTCCGATCATCGTATCGCATAAATCCAGCCAAATGCTTTCCGATTCCGTGAAAACCAAGACCCGTTTGGTGATGTTTGGCGATGTTTGGAGGTCGAAGTGTGTCAAGAGTGGCCTTACTTACAAACTGCCCTCGAAAGGAACCCGATAATGCTTGCGGTTCTAGACCAGGACAACGTGCTGCGTTACCTCCATTGGCGCCTCACTGACGACTGGCGAAGGGGCTCTGTGGAAGATTCTTGTTGGCAAGCCACCTTCAGCAGTGCCAGATTCGAAGGAAGCTTCCAGAAATTCAACAGCATGTTGGCCATGATGCAACCTTTTTCAGCTTGCAGTTTCAAAGAGATATTCGTTCGAGCATGGCTTGCCTCAGGATGCGTTGCGCCATGCGTGGGGCAACTTCACTTGCTACGACTGGATCTTCAACATTTCTCACATACCCTTTACGTTGGCTGTGTAACCAATCAAAAATTAAGACTTCTCAACATCTTTGATACGTCAGCGACACGCAAGTATGAAGTCAAAGCAGTAATCAAAGAGCCGAAGGTTGCGCAGCCACGTTTGCAGAAAGGTTGACTGAGAACTTGTAGCCTTGCCTCAGCCTCAGCAGAGGAAACGGAGCGCTGAGGCAGCCTGCCACACTTACTGGTGATTTGCAAACTAGGCTAGCGATTTCCTTCAGCCTTGAGATTGAGATTGTGAAGATAGTTGGAACTTGGCCAAAGAAAGGCGGGTCAGTATTCGCATATCAGCATCATCCACAGAAGTGACTAGCTTTCGCCAAGATGCCCCAGCGTCGTGCTCAGAGGTCTTGGTTCCCGAAGCTATAAGTCTCGAGCGCCCATCGGCACACCTAGCGAAAATCCTGCGTGATCCTTTGCTGCAGGACAAGGCTCCAGCATACAGATTCAAAATCTATAAATCTGTATTCTGACTCTGGTCTTATGCGTGGAGGACAGACGTGCTAAGTTCGGCCTGGCATAAGCCCTCAGCCCTCAACCCCAACTCCGGCCACCTCTGAGTGGTGTTTGGGCTTGGGATACGCAAAAGAATGAAATACATCTTCTTTTACGAACTTGCCGTAGCCGTGATGCAGAATACTGTTCCATGAGGCTGGGCATTGGAGTGGGTTCGTTCGGGGCCCCCAGAAGATGCCCCGAGTGGCTTCGGAGGAGAAGCATCCCGCATACCTCAAATTGTTCCGGTTCGTGGTTTAGGGTTCATAGGCTTTAGGGCCTTCAACGTTCAGGTCTAGAGAGCCTCAGTCCTCGAGCCCCAAACCGCTGAACGAAGCGCAAGGGGCCCTTCTTGGAAGAGTCTTCATTGCTACACACCCTACATGCCCCAAAACCGAAGCCGCCAAACCTTTCAGGGTGTAGGCTTTAGGTTTTGGATTTACGCTTCGGGTCTGCAGCGGACTGCCAAGGCGTGAAGGGTAGAAAAGGGTCTCTGGGTTAGGGTTATTGGGGTTACTGGGTTTCTTCGGGTGTACCCCGAATCCCTCGAAGAATGAGCAGAACATCCGAGCAAAAGCCCGAAGCCCTCAACATATACAAGTTATGTATTAGTATCGCAATATCATATACAACATTCTAACAAACCTAATAATACGTCAATAAACACATATATACATATATGTAGCATGGTAGGCGACATACTCGTACACTAACAACATACTGCAATAATATAGCAATCGAAAAGTATAGTACTGCAATCATATACTAGCAACACAGTAAGAGAATAACAGAATATCATGATTTAATAAAGAATATTTAGATGTGTTAACAACAATAGTAGAAGCGCATAAAAAGGTAGTAGCATTGTACTAGTATCATGTATTGGTTGTCATCAACACAGCAGTCACTCCTAAGCCCCTATACCCGACACCCAAAACCCTAACCCCCCCCCCACCCCCTACGGAGATCTGGAGCCTGTAGGTCATGGGCGCTGAAGTCGCTGGTAGCAGCCTTGCTGAGCTGACTGCGGTCTGAAACTTAGGCCCCTTGCATGGCTTGAATAACTTGGGGAGGTTGGCATTCGATGCGTGACGAGAAGACCTGGAAGGATTGTTCAGTGTGTTCAAGTGATGTTCAGCTTCAGAAGTTGCCCGCCGCTCATGCCTTGATCCCACGTATAGTAGGGTGCATATGAGGGTTTGACGAGTGCATTCGCTCCTGAGGAGCATTGGTGAGTGTGCTGTTGAAGGATGATAGTGACATAAGACCCTATTTTCACATGATCTCGAATGCGTTGGCGACTGCTTGATGCCTGCTTGTATGTCGCCGTCTTTGGTGGAGGCCCAGCTGTGGGCTACGACTGCGAAGGATGGCCCAATCGGCTCGTAAGAAGATTTGGAGAGCCCGTGATCCCAGTACGGAGGCTGCTGAAGGTGGAAAGAAACCTGGAGGACCTTGATCTCCCACGCAGAAACTCCAGCCGGGGACTCTTCCTGGTGCTGGATCTACGGCATCTACAGAGACCGCACAGGGGATCGCGCGGGGGACCGCAGAGGTCAGAGGACACTCAAGGTGTGACGCAAGGCGTGATTCGGGCTTGGGCTGCGCTGTCAGCACACTCGCTGCTGGCCTTGCGAGTGGCAGAAAACCCCACCGATGATGTCCTCGAGCTCCTGCGCCGCTTCTTTTTCGCCACGCAGCAGAGACATTGGTACAAGAAACCCGGTCCCATGCCTGCCATCAGCGATGCAGATGAAATTTGCTGCGACCCTTGCGGCTGCCTTGCTCAGAAATCCATTTCTGCAGAACTGCAACCGCATGACTACCACTATGCAGCCGCCAACTACTTGAGGTGGGAAGCCCGAGTGAGAGGCCAGCACCCCTTCTTTTCTGAAGCCCTCAAATATCAAACAGACAAGGTGACCTACCACCGCTATGAGCTGCTCTACCACCGGACACTGCCCAGAAGCCTGGATCATGAGGGTCAGGCGGGATGCTTCCTGGAGATTGGCTTCGGTTGCGTCGAGTTCGTCCGGGACGTTGCTCTCTCCGCAGGTATTTGGCCGGTCATCTTTCCAGGGGCCAGAGTGCACATTCTGGAAATCGACATGCCTTGCGTCCAGAAGCTCTCGACCTGGCTTCGGGAGCAGAACTACAGCGTTCACGTAGTGGACGTGGGTGCTGTTCTGGAGCTGGAGCGGCTGAAGCACGATGTTTTTCGGCCAGAATGCCCGCACGGGTTACTCAGCGTGGTCGTGGACGACGGTTCGCACAATAGCTCCGACCTTGTGACCACTTTCTTGAGCGTGTATCCCTCCTTGAAACCTGGTGGCCAATACTACATGGAAGATCTAGGCCTCACCTCCTACAACGTGTACGACTCCCTCGAGCCTATGACGACCAAAGGTGGGGAACGACCAGGCACGGCGTTCTTCTTCGTTACCTCCCTTCTCAGCGGCCTCTTTGCCAAGGGGCCCCGGTCCTATGCGCCCTTCCAGGATGTCGGGCTCCTCCGCTGCTGGCTTAACATCTGCCTCATCGAGAAAGCGTTCCTTTAACACCTACAGGGCAGCAGGATGTGGGCTTTAACGTGAGCAACTGGTTCCGGCCCGAAGGACACGGTGGAGTCTGCTGGAGCTCGCTAGTGCTCCCAGCCGTTAGGACGGATGTAAGGAGTCAGTTTGCCTGAGCGTGGGCAGTCTGGATCGCGAATTGAGAGCACTGTACGTTGTTGGCGTTGCTGTGCCAGAGGCTGACCGGAGGAAGGCACATCTGCACTTACAGACTTCAGGCCTAGACTGCAGCGTCGACCCAACCACGGCCGCGGTGCTCAGAATTCCTGTGCCGTTTCGGCCTGTGACACACGCGCTGCTTGTGCCCCGTCACATGAGAAAAAAGCTCAGCTGTCCAGAAGCCGTTGAAAGCCGTTGATCTTCAGGTCCTTTGATCAATGTCATCGTCGGGAGCGGACTGACACCGTGCGCGCCAGTTGAAAAACGTATACGTGGGGGTGTCCACTGAGCTCATTCCCATATCCTTCATGAATCATGAATCATTCTCATAAGATCTAACATTGGGTACACACAATTCTCCCTCAAATTGTTTCCATTTTTTGTCGTATACTTCATGATGGACGGCTTTAAAGGGGTGAGAGAGATGAATGGTACGGTTTCTAGAAGCGGCTCCTGATGAAGATATAGTCATGAGTGAATAATCCGTGAACAAGGCTGTGGACCTATCTTTACTGCCTCAATGGTTTAGTTTGCTGGCTCATGATTCCAAGGCTTTGACTTCGTACCCCCATGAGTCCTCTTAACAAGGGTGTGAACGGTCAGACCAAGATATGAGGGTTAGGGTCTCAAGGTATGACAGGGAGATTCCGGAAGGTTAGGCGGTTGGGGTCCCGAGGGTGGGTTCTTAGTGGTTTCTTAGTGGTTTGGAAAATAGAGGTTGGGTCTCAAGATACATCCTAATGGTAATACTATTATGAATCTAATAATGGTTTCTTCCTAAGGGTCATATTATGTATAAATTAAAAATTGAATTATGAATTGAAATGATCGACCAATTTTTATCGATAATAAGTTCTATCGATCGTGCACGTCGTTCGGGTTCGATGGATATATGGATGGATTATCTTGATTCTTTCATTGATTGAGGATTCTTTCTTCTTATTTAATATTATATTTTCGGATTATGTGTCGTTATGATTTAGGAGCTGGTGAATGATTATTCTATTATGAGGAGGATGATGCATGGGTATATTATGTTTTATTATATATACATACTAGAGGGGACCCGTCGATTCCATCGACGGCATATACGTCTGCCAATCTCTAAAAGAAGCTAAGGAATATCAAGAAAAAATGCGGACGGAAAATACGGACCAAAGATCAGAATAAATAGAAAAGAATTAAACCTCACGTCCTAAAATATAT